CCCCAAAACCCCAAAACCCCAAAACCCCAGTACCTTTTCTTGCGATTGAATTGTTAAGTTTCAAGCAAGAAATGGCTTCTCGGATACTCATTTAGTTTATTTGTGAGTGGTAAAAGAGCCTAAATGTAAGTAAATTATATAAAAATTAAGATTTCTCAGTCATAGAGCTTATCATATACATAACCATCTAGCCTACATCTTTTTACATGTATTTTTATGCCCAAGATGAGGAAAGATATTAATAAAAATGGCCTGAGGTGTAAAATAATATTAAAAACAAGCCTTACTTTAGGGCATAATGGTATCGTTAAAGTTTATCTTGCTTGAGAAAACACTTATTTATCAATTATTGAACCATAAGCAATAGCCAAGAATTGCAGCACGAATTTGTTAATTTTCTATTGGACAAAAGTTTTTCAAGGGGACTTATGCCTGAGTTTAAGAGAAGTTTAAAATTTTTATCTTCATTGATTGATCTGTCAAAATATTTCAGATTGCTATTAATTTTGCTACAAGTAAGAAATAAAGATGCTGCCCAAGTCTCAATTATTAGGCTTCCCAGTGTTGGCTTGAACTTCAAAAGAATTTGCGACTATAAAACTAGCATAGACCCAACTAATAGTTTTTACTGTAATTAAAATTTATTGACTGGCAAATCATAAAGGTGAATATCTGAAAAAGAAGGATGATTTAAGTGATAGTTATTTCAAGAATTGTAGAAATCATATAAAGACTTCCACTTTGGTTAAAATCAGCATTTGCACTCTTAAATATTCTGGATATCTCCTAATGACAAATATTTTCAAGCTAACATTGCACATCTTGGTTGTTCCAAATATTGCACAAAACTATGACTAAACCATTTAAAAATCGGGGTTGCCTCAGATTATAACTCTCATCTCTTTCACAGGCCTATAGGTATAATTTTCCAGCTAAAGACATATTTTTTTGCTATAATTTTTCGTCATGAATCACTCGGCTATTTATAATAGCATCACCCATCATAAAGTTAGGTCTTTTTAAGAAGACTCTTAAAGCTTTTAAATGGGCAGCTAATTCAGAGATGATATTCTCTTTCCCTATTATCATAGTTGCTTAATTTTGGAGTAATGAGTCGTCTAAGGAGCGACCATGCTCACCAATTAATCTGTGATTTCTAAAGTATAAATTTGCTGAAAAATAGTTATTAATAGGAGATTTCCCACGAGACTAGCAATATGAGCTAACAATTTGAACTGTGTTGTGCTAAAATGGCAAAGGATTAGGTCAATATTCTGAGCTTGCAGCATGAATCAGAGTTAAATAGACACTAAACTTAATTACTATTAAATTTATTTTCAAAATATGTGGGCGTTGGTTCATTGGTGGATGAGAATATTGGAGCTCTAAATTTAAGAGTTCTCATAAAATAAGCATTGGCACATTTTTCTTAATCATTTCTCTTCATTGAATGTTCTATGACATAGATAAATAAATTTCCAGAGGATTTAACTAGGCTTGAAGACTTCAAAAGAAATTTGATTATTTTTAATATTCATTTTTTTCGAAGCGGCTTAAAATTGAGTGCACAAGGATGAAAAATAATCTGATACTCCCTTTTCGGCAGGAAGATATTCTCACAGAGATGAAATTCTCTTAATAAAGGATATTGACTAGTTCACCAGTAAGAAATCTTTCGAAAATTTACTTTACCAATTCTGAAGAGAAAGATAGTAAACTTGTAAACCTTCCTTAATTAAGACAGCCTTCCAACTCAGTGCCTCTAATTCTAACGATACATTCTTGACCGTGTCCAAGAATTGAGAGATTTATAGGATATCGTAATAGGCTGGAAATAGGTTCTTCCCAAGAAGTCCCACAAATTTCATAAAATATGTGTAGTATATAACATGTTGCTCATATTTTTTAACCACAAGAGATGGAGTATTCAAGCAGAGATTAATTATAAAAAGAGCTAGCTTTGAATTGAACATCGATTTCCTTTTTTTTTAAGGCATTGATAATCGATAGACTCAGAACTTTTCAAATGTTGGGAATTAGGGAAAAGTTTATATTAATTAGATTCATTAAAAATTGTTTGAGGGATGCTATAGAGCTCAGAATAGCGCTACAATTTTTATTTCATCTATCATTCATGGCTTATGCTTACTGAGCTCCTAGGCATTCCAGGAAGAGTTCCATGAAAATGCATGTTATGTTTTACCTCTTAATTTTATTTGCTAATCATAATTCTTAAGACTGGATACTTACTCAAGCCAACTTCCAAAGAATTTGGTTGAGGATATGCCAGTCCAGTGGTACAACTTTTATTGTATTTTACTCAAAGCAACTAGTATAAAATTATTTAGATTTGTATTATGAATGATAAGTGTTTAAGTGGTTTTAAGTTAATGATGTTAATTATTATAAATTTTTAGAAATTAAATAAATAATATTTCAATATGGAGTCTGAGATGCTTATATGCACTGATCCTCAAGATTTCAGACAGCTCATCATACTTTAGGTGAAATTAGAGCCTGAGCTGACTGAAATTTTATGAATCCATGTATACAAGCAGCTCGGACCACACCTTGTAGTATCATATAGCTCATTACTAAAATTCATAATAACCAATCATATTACCTCTCTATGAGTAGGATAAGCTTAATATTCCTTTAAAAATATCAATTTGGCATTTAGGTACGTTAGGTAAGGGCAATAGACTTGAAAATTTTAGACAATGTAATTTTTCCTCAAAAATTTATTCTGGAAATATTTATGAAAGTGAGAGAAATAAAGGTCTACTATCTTTCTTTTACTAATCAAATAATAATGGTAGGAGGAGAAGGTTAGATCTAAAATTTTAGAAAAAAATTAACTTTCTTTGTGTAAAATTGACTAGCTTCATACGATCCTTATCCTAAAAAAAAGAAGTCTTTGTTGTTCTTTGTCAAACTGTGAAAAGATTCTTAGTCTAACTTTAATAAATGTAGAAGAAGAAATATTAAAATAAGCCTGAAAATTCATACAATCGTCAGAAAGATGGAATCACAATAGGCCTCTCAATTCATCTCAATTCGAGCATTTTTTCTCATAGAAAGTAGTAGCCTGAAGTTGACTATAAACCTTCTAATTCTTCTGAATAATTTATGAATGTTTAAATCACTTGGCAGAAATATTACAATAGCATCCCAAAATGGTATTCTCATTGAAAATGAGTCTTATCTTCAGAGGATGGCTTCTCTCAACTTGGGACTTACTTTTAATGCGCAAGCGAGTCATCTGGCAAATTTTCTAAGTGTTTTCTACTCATAACCCTACTTCACTACAAATTAACTAATCTCCATAATTTGTAAAATCTGATTTTGAAATTTCGCTGAATCTTATAGAACCAAGGAAATAGAAGAAGAGAGGACTATTGGTCAACTTTTAAAACACAAATTATTATGTCTCGAAGGTCACTGTTCTCAATCTGTTCTGAAACTCCATCGAGTGGAACTTCTTCTGGTGGGTCTACACAATTAGAAATATCTGAAGAGAACCTTACCTTCAAGTTGTACTTCTCCGTGTATCCTTTGTGACAGAACTCACAGATGAATCTCCTTCTATCATCCAGATTTGGGATCAAATGGCTTCTTCTGTGCTTGACCATGTTGCCTTTCTGAGTGTACAGCTTTGGACAGTGAGGGCACTTAAATGGCCTCAGTTTTTGATGAGATCTCTGGTGAAGCTGCATTTCACTGAGATTGTTGAAAGTTCTTCTGCAGCTGCCAACCATACAGGTATAACTGTACCTTGCTTGAGTCTTTCTAATGAATCTTTTGAGTCTTCTAATAGAGTACATGGGAGTTCCGTCTGGATCTATTCATTTAGAGCGATATAATCCTGAGCTTACTTGATATAATTTTTTCTGAGTGTTTATCTTCTTCATTGTTAATTTGGTGTTTAGATCTTAGATCCTGGATGAAGCATTAATAAAATATTCACAAATTTAGTTAAATATAGAAGAAGTTGCTTACTTGACCAGTAACCAAACTTGGAGTTTGAATAACTAGTGAAGGAGGAGCTTCCTCTGCAAACTGCTCTCCTTCTTTTTGCTGTAAACTCATGCAAAATTGGTTCAAAGGTGGAAGATCATTATTATTGCTTCTTTCTCTGATGATAGAGTCTCATAGACAATATTGGTCAAGTAAAGAAGGGTAAGCTTGTATACTCTCTTCATATGAAGGATACTCTTGCTCAACTATAAAAAAGTCTGTCGTTTATGTTCTAACCTAAAGAAATTAACCATATTTTTATGTGAATATTACAATGCCAAATTCTTTTCAAAGACTGAACATAAGAAACTTTATCATTAAATGATAGAATGGAAGTCTTTATCTCTTTATAAGTTAATAAAGATCAAAGGGTGCTTTGAGAAAATAAATAGTAATTAAATTAAATTTATCCAAAGAAAAGAAGAAATTTTAAGAAATGGTCTCATTCCGAATATAAACTAAGACCAGAATTATTAGAGCGACAATCAGAGCTAGTCTCAATATTCACGAGCATAGTCTCTCTTGTGTTTTAAGGAAGATGGGAAATGTTTGATTAGGTATTATTCTATTAAGACGATAAACCAAGGATAGATTAAACCTTCTATTAGTTCATTTGGCAAAATGAATCTTTCTCTTTGAGGCTTGTTCTTTTACTTTACTTAAGTTATAATACAAGCTCAGTCACTTACCATATTCAGTGATGACGAGGCAATGAATTGGCTCATAAAACTCAGGACTATTGAATTCCATGATTATCTATTTCTAATGTTGTTATTAAATTATTAGTACTCAATGCACTTCCTCATTTATGGGGTTTTGGGGTTTTGGGGTTTTGGGGTTTTGGGG